ACCATCTCAGCTCCAGAGTCCACTAGGGCTCTAACCTTCACGTCATTCACAGAGATATTCAAGTATCCACACGACATGTTACCAAACCTCATCTTGGTACCAGGCGGGGCTCTTTCCTCATGCTGAGGAAAGAGTCTTAGGCTATTAACTTCAACCTTCCGCCTTTCAACCATTCTTTTAAGTTCTTCTCTAAACTTAGGTACCAGGGCTACTGCTTCTTTCCAAGATAGGGTGATCTCGGTTTCCTCGAGTAATTTCTTCACTACTTCATCTATCGAGATCCCTTCCTCGACCTCGGATCTCAAGACCACCCTTCTCTTCTTTCCGACGGCTTCCTTTCCTTTCCCTTCCTTCACTAGGTCTTTGGTCCCATCTATCAGCTGGTCTAGCTCTCTTTGAACCTTCTCTCGCTTTTTCTCTTCGACCTTTTTTTGACTGATATGGGATACATTCGAACTTTGACTTTCAGGATTGTCATCTCGAGCCACTATCTCTGGAGGTAGCATGCCATCAAAGGTAATAACATTAACTATAACCTTCTTCTTTTTATCCTTATTGGCCCTAGCCTGTTCTAGGACAACTGCTCGCATCCCTCCTTTGACTCGGAAATCTATCTTGTTCCAATTGGCATCACAGACGTGCCCATTGACATTCTTCTTGACAATCCCTTCTTCGAGTTTCTTCTCTAGTAAAGGGCACCGAGTTATAGTATGACCTTCCTCGTCACAATAATAACATCGGAAGGGGTCATCTCTCCTCTGCCAATCTCGACTCTTATTATCTTTCTTCCAATCCCGATCACACTTCTTCTTTTGTCTCTCTTTTCTCCTTCGTCTAGCGTCATCATCACTACTCTCATCATCACTTTCACTCTCCTCTTTCTGCTTCTCCTTCTTTCTTTCTACCTTTCCTTCTTCGGCTCCAACAAGTGTTTGAGTTGCTGGGGCAGGAAGAGTTAATTTTTCGAAGCTACTAAGCTTCTCTAGAAGACCAATGATCTCTTCGGCTTTCAAGTTTCCTCCCTTAGCTGCCTCAACATTTCCCTCTCTTGCACTAGTGATTGCTTTCATCTGTTCCAGAGACCACTTCCGGTTTGACACCGAAGGTAGTTCACTGACCATCTCAACCACTTCATCCCACTTCAGAGAATAATGAGCAGCGCGGCTTACCACACTCTTTCTTTCATCCTCAATAAAATTAGTTAGCAGAACATGACACTTCTTGGCCTCATCCAGGAAGGGTACTCTCCGCGCATCCGCTCAAAATCCTCTAGGAATTGATCAAGGGTTGCATATTTTGAACGTCGCACTTCCAACAAATTTTGCATGGTTGTTGGAACGTCATACTTCGCATATTCTTCCAGCATCTTTTGTCTAACCTTGACCCATGTTGTCAGTCTTTGTGTCATTTTTGTCACCGACACCCTCATCTTAGGCTCAACATAGGCTAGCAGAGCTTTTAACTTCTGCTTGTCCGACTAACCGTGACTCATACCGAAGACATCATAGTCTTCCGGGAACTCCCTAACCTTGGTTCCATCAAAGCAGGGTATGTTCTCTGGAGGTACTTTAGCTCTTGGAAGGTCTAGACGAACATTCATAATGTCCATCCCGGTCTTCATGACCTCTATCCTTTTTAACATTTCTTGTAGAACAGTGGTAGTGGTCACTACTCCATCACCTGCGGAGGAACTAGCAAGGTTCTGCCTTGCGCCCGGTCCCCTGACCATTTTGTTTGATTTATTGGTTAAACTCCTATTTCTTCCCGAACCTTTTCTCTCTTATGATTGCGTTTAGAATTGGTTCCCAGTTTCTGCCGTCGGTAAAACTTTTTGGCAAAATCGGTTCGGGAATCCTGTCAAACACAATCGGTGCTATGTTACTGACTACTCTTGCTCCTTTTCTTTCTAACTCTCTTTTTTCTTGACCAATTATACTACTGATCCAATTACGAAGAGATTCACAATCTGTCGCCTTCTCCCTTAGTGAAAGGACATAGGGCCGGATATGATACTCACTAGTGTCGAGGAACTTCACTACAAGGACGTACGCCTTCCCCGGGGCATGCTTCTCCTCCAGGGATATGCAGCGCTCTATCTTGTAGGGAAAGGCTCCTCCAGTGGTAAATGGAACCAAGGCGTCTAGTGCTGCCGTGACTGCCGGATAGTAACCAGACATTTGCCTAGTCCCTAGCGACCCCCATGATCCGTCTAATCCTATCCAGCGCCTGAATCGTCAATGTTGACACTACTCCACTTCCTATCTCTCAAAACGGCATTAAGAATAGGCTCCCAGTCTTCACCATTGATGAAGCTATCTGGAATAGGAGGGTTTGGAAAACCCTCGTACTCAGTAGGCTCCACACCCCAGGTAACTTTCTTACCCTCCTTCTTAAGTTCGTCTTTGTATTTACTGACGTGACTAAGTGCTCACTTGTGACACCCAGTAAACCGCCGCCAAATCTTCCTAGTCACTGGAGTGTCTATCTCTCAATCTCATAAGGAAATGCTCCTCCTACCGTGAGGGGCTTTAAATCCCTGAGTAAGCGTGAGATGAACGAAGAATTAATATATGGTAGTTCCTTTCCTTCAGCCTTCTCCCAACTATGCCTGCTTCCTAGGAAACCAGCATACTCCTCGGCCATAACAAGCTCCTTTCCATTGTCAGGTGAGGAAAAATTCAGAAGAAGCCTCGTCTTGGACTTCAAATCGTCGAACAAAGGTGTCAAGAAACAGCGTCTTTGGTCGCATGACTAAGTCATTCTCTCTTGCTTTACCAACCACGGCAATAGCTTCTAGAAGAGGCGCCCAGTCTCTCCTGTCAGTGAAGCTATCCGTAGTTAGAAAGCTAGGGAGTCTTTCGAATTCCATGACTCGTT